TTTTGTTTTATTTTTTTTTTTTGCTGCAACCTGACAAGTGTTAAAATAACATTTGCACTGCATTTTAAATGGCATTTCCAGTGAAGAATTTTTTGGTGTACGACTTGCTTTTATTTTTCCCGTGCAGAACGTTGAAACCAAACAATCAACAAAACGAATTTCCTGCTCCAGGGTTTTTTTCTGGGGTTGGAGTTGAAAATGCTACATTTAACTGAGGAAAACATCAAACATGTTAAATAAATGTTCGCTTTAGGGCGGGTGGAGAGCTGTTGAGATTTGGATTTTTGACCGTTTCTATTTTTAGGGGCCTATCACAAAACGGAAATCAAATAGAATTCAACCCACCAACAAGAAAAAGGCATATTTACATAGAAACAGATATAAATATAGAATTTTACTTTTACGCATACAATGGGCAAGGGAGCAAGGATCTGCAGCAAAATTCATAGCATACTTTAACGCGCTGTCTACGAGCAATATTTAGAATACTTGCTTTTAGCTGCGTACAGTAACAATAAGGGTATAGAGCATTTTTTCATCGATTTATAAAATATTTAAATATATATTTAAATTCCTTTATATTATTTTTACAATTTTGTATAAACTACAGAAAGTCCAAGGCTCACCCAGTTCGCCAGAATTAGAACAAAAATTATAAATTGTACATTTTTAACATATTATTGTCTAATTTGATTCAAAGCGTTCTTTTATTATTATAGAATTTCGTGTTTTTAGTTTTATGAATATCGGAATACTATATAATATAACTGCCAGAGAAATGGTTGTTAATTTTAGAGGATCAGTAAGTATGTTTCAACAATAAGTTACTATGAACAGAAATCAGTGATTATCTATGACCAATAAGTAACTATAATCAGTAAGTACCAATGAACATTAATTAAATATGGTAAGTAGGTAAATATGATCAGTAAGTATCTATGACCAGTAAGAATGTATGATCAGTTACTAACTTTGGACACTTATAAACAATGACTTGCAACTTTTGTAACAACACATTTCTGAGACCTGGCCGGCAGAAGTCACTTCGTTCCGGGGATGTTAGAACAAGTTGGGAATTATTTGCACAGATGTGAGAGATTTGTTTTGGAACAAATGTAAGCTATTTGAATGAAACTATGGAGTTATTCTAGGATATAATTTTACAAGTTTATAAGTCGGAGCATGCCGAATCGGTGGATTATATATATAAATATATATAGCTGACATAGGAACAATCAGACGATTTAAGGAACTATGATCATTAATTAACTATGACCACTAATTAACTTTAAGCACTAAGTAACTATGAGCAGTAACATAAGTAACTCTGAACAGTAAGTATCTAGGACCACTAATTAACTATGATCAGTAATTAACATTGACCAGTAAATAACTATGATCAGTAAGTATCTATGACCACTAAGTATGTATGTATGAGCAGTTACTAACTTTGAACACTAATAAACAATGACTTGCAACTTTTGTAACACAACACTTTTCTAAGACCTGGCCGGCAGCAGTCACTTCGTTCCGGGGATGTTAGAACAAGTTGGGAATTATTTGCACAGATGTGAGAGATTTGTTTTGGAACAAATGTAAGCTATTTGAATGAAACTATGGAGTTATTCTTTTATATAATTTTACTAGTATATAAGTCGAAGCATGGCGAATCGGTGGACTATATATATAGATATATATCTATATCTGCCATAGGAACGATCGGAACATTTTAGATAATTAGATTATAACTTTTCAAGTTTTAAACAGATTTTCAGCAAATTTGATACATAGCCTATAAATATTAATCTAAAATTTTGTTTAAAATTTTATGAATATCGGACCATTATATTTAAGGAAAATAAAATATGAAATAAAAAAAAACTTCAAAAAATACTTTATACTTTATCTAATAACTGGTAAAAAATTAATTCCTAAATTATAACAGAATTTAATAAAAAATGTGCAAAAACTGTTATTAAAACAGGTGATGGAGCAAATTTAAGGTGCTTATATTTCAATTTCCCTTCAAAGCGTAACCTTCTTTTACCTTATTTTCAATATTTATATTTTTTCTAGTTCCAGCAGGGCATTGCAAAATACATAGAGTGTCCTTGGTGTCACATCCTTTTTAACTGTTTCCCTTATACTTTTTTTATGGCGCCCAAGTGAACGCTCCGATGGCCGCCATATGGCAAACGATGTCTGACACTTTTTGATTAAATTACCGTTGACTGTCAATAACAGACACTGACGGTGCACTCATCTCCTTGCAAACTTTCACAAGGATTTATTATTTTTTTTTTTGATATTGTTCAGAAAAATATATATTAATAAAATTATGATTGCAACTCAATTTAAGGCTTTTGATTCAGCTTTATCCAGTGTTTCTGGATGGTGATGCAACAGCAAAGACATCTTGAGCTGTCAGCAGTTGAGGCTTTAATTGCCTCCATATAAATGATTGATTCCAAAAAACAAAAAACTTTGTCCTTGTTTGACTTGCGTGTAAACATCTTGCTTCGTTTTCCTTTGCTCATGTTTTTTCTGGTAATTTTTTTTGTGCTGAACCAAGTTTAATTAAACCTCCATATGGTGTATATTCTGTGGGCGATTTGCCGAAGAGTTGCGAGTGGGCGGTCAGGGATTCTATTTATAGAGTCCGCTGATTAGGAACAGCAGTAAAGTGACAGCGTCAGCACAACAACAACGAAAAAAAGGCGTCCCTGATGTAAATATTAGAAGCCAATATTGAACTGGTTATGTGGCAAAAGTTTGCTTAGTTCGTTTTTTTATTTTCCACTCCTGTTGTTAGGCGACCTGGCTTCATTGATAGATATGACCAATTCTCTTGGCTATTGGCCATGTCAAGGCGATAACCGCTTGACGTAAAACTCGTTAACAACGACCTTACTTTGGTAAAGGTTTCAAATTTCATCAGACACACAAAAAAAAGATTTAAAAAAAACGAAGGTTCAATCAACACACTGGATTTTTAGGGGATAAGTTTAATTTATTGAATTTAATTCTCTTTTACCTAATCAAAGAAATTTCTTACTAGAATCTTACTTATTAAAATGAGTAAATATTTAATTTTAGGAAAGTCAATAGATTTTTCAGAGAGGTTTAATTTATAGGCTATTAAAATGTATTTTTCTATTTTCTTCATTTACTAACACCACAATCTTTCTTCCTACAATTATTACTTACTTAAAACAGTTTAGTATTTAATCGTTTTAGTAATTATTACCTTTAAAAATAATAAATATTCAGTCTCTTTTTAGAAAACCAAGCAATCATTGATATTTAATTATTCTAATTTATAAAATTATATAACCTCAAACAATCAAATACCTTCCAAGTTACTTTTTAGGTTTTTTAAAACCTAAATGGTTTGCTTTTTTAAGTAATATTGCAGAGCATCACAAAGCCCATTAAGATGCCGAATTTTAATGGAGCTATTATAATGCATACAATGGAGTTGATTAAATCGCCGGCAACACTGCGAGAAATTGTGATGACTATAGCCCAAAATACAGAGCTACCACCAGAAGACATTAAAATGCCAGTGAAACAAACTCTGGAAATGGGTTTGCGTTCGGGATTTTTGCAGAAAGCTGAGGGTAACCAATAAATTTCTTTTATAAATTCTAAATAAATTAATTATTTTTGAAGGTCGCTATTATTTGGAACCCATTACTTTTACCCACCTTATGAGTGAGATACGGGCCTTGGACCCTTCAGATAATATTGAGAAGCTCCAGGGTAAAAAGGTTGAAAAGTCCTTGAAGACAAGCTCTAAAACTGCCATTAAGAAGATCCCAAGTTCACAGATAATAAAAAATCCTAAGCCCACGAATGAGGGTACTCACAGGAATTCGAACATCAAGCCGAAGGGATCCTTGAAGGATGATAATTTCAAAACTTCAAATACCTTAACGAAAATGCCATTGATAGACAATATTTCTTTGGGAGTAAACAACAAAACTATATCCGATTCAAAGAAGAAATCAGTGACTTCCGTGGCAATCAAACCAAGGCGTATTACCAATAAGTAAAAATTAAGATAATGATTTAACAGGACACGGAAGTTTTCAGTAAGCAGTTTAAAAAAAATATATAAAAAATTGTACGTTTTGTTCTATAATCTTAAATATAATAATATGAACTACTTTAACCACAAGTCTGTGTGCATGTCTTTTAAATTCTAGAAAATATTTTAAACCTTTGAGGTATATATTCTTCTGAGTTTTTAAAGGAAAATATTAACAAATAATCAAAATACTAACACTATTTTTTAGTTTAAATAGTATTTACTAACAACCCTGTAACTAAAATTTAAATAATTCCATTTTGTAATAATTGATTTAATTAGTAAGTTGCAATTGGGAATAAGCCATTACTTGGCATTCCCCGATTCCCTTGGCCAATAAGGGAATGCCCTTTGACAAATGATGTCTCATTTACGCAAGTTGACAAATGTCTCAATTAGCGGAGGACGGAATCCTTGCAATCGAGAGAGCGAGGGTCCTGGCATTTTTCGGGAAGGGAGAGTGTTTGGAGCATTGAGAGACGCCCGACACTGTCGCGACGCTTCCTATTCAATTTGAAAACCAAATGAAGCGTCGCCTCCGCCAAGTGGCAATTTGCTCTGTGCATTGACCATATGGTTGGACACCCACCCAAAAAGGGCGCCCCACGCAATCTGCACCACCCACCACCCACAACGCCACCCACCCCTCCCTCAAAAGGACATCGCAATTGCTAGTGGTCCGCCAGATAGTAACCCATCACCACCTACCACCACGCAACACTCCTCGAATTTTCCCTAAAAAGCTTTAATACACTCGAAAAATATTTCAGAAAATTTAAAAGAAAACTATTAGGAATTATTTTTTTAACCTAAAAACATTAACTTTATCATTTTAGAAAGTTTAAAAACAATTTGTTAAAATATTTAATAAAATTAAATAATATTTAATAAGATTATTTGCTTGACTTACTTAGAAATTATATCCAAAAATTTGTGATTTGATTCTCTCTAAAATCCATTTACTTTGTGGTCCTAAAATGTAAATAAATAAATATGTAAATAAATAAATTTATTAACAATTCAATTAAATAATATAAACCACGTCTTAAAAATTATAACTTAAATTTATAAATTTGTTTAGCAATATTAAAATACATTAATTGATAAAAGTATGTGAGAATTATATGCAAAATATAATTTAATAAATAAAATATAATAAAATATAAAATAAATAAAGAAATCCCATCAATATTTTAACTGATAGTTATTAAATTGTTTCAACAATATTAGTTGCTAAAACTATTTAGAGTTAATACTCTGTAAGATTCCCTTACTTTGTAGGTTTAAAATATATCTAAACATATAAGTATTAGTTCTCATCCTCAAAACTAAATGTTAACTGACCTTTTATTTTATTTTCTAATTTCTATATAATATAATAATATAATAATAATATAATAATATAATAATATAATAATTTTTATATAATATTTATTTTAGTGTTCTTCTGAGTTTATTTTTTTTTTCTCCCCCCTCTCTACTTTTCTTTGACCTTTGCGATGACGTCGGACCGGCTTAGGCTACCTCAAAAAGAGAGAGCAAAACCGACAGAGAGAGATAGCAATGTAAACAGAGAAAGAGAAAGGCGGCCAGGGTAAAAGCAAGAGAGCATATAGAAAAAGAGACCGTGAGGGTGAAATTGCCAACGTGGTGAAAAACGATTTCCAACCGAAGAGTGCAACAAATGTTTGAAAGACAACTTCGGGCCAACAAGGTAAATGTTAAGGCACACACGGCGTATGAGTGCTGTGCGCTCGTCCAACGGGTGGTATGCTTGATTTAGGGGGTGGTTGGGTGATTGGGTGGCCTTCTGGTTGGGTGTTCTGGTTTTGGGGCTTTTGAAGCGTGGGCAGCGACAAAGCGGGTGAAGTTATGTCTTGCCCTTTTTTTCGGCATACTGGCATACATAGCGAGCGGCGAATTATTTGTGCGTAGGGATGTGCAGATGTACAAAATGTGCGACTGAATGTGGGTTTTCGCTAGGGTGACTCAACAGGATGACACTTACTTTGAAAAAGGTAATTTAAATGTAAGTTGAATTATTAAATACAGTATTTATTCATTAATTTAAGTCTGCTTAAATTTGTTTAATTGTGAATGTAAAATAATTTAATAATAATAATATAAGATAATGTAAATTAATATATAAGTGTAATTCCTATTATAACATTTTAAATATAGAACAAATAATTTCCTTTATTATTGATGTTCAAAAAGCGGATGTTTATGTAATTTTATTTTAATTATTAAAACATTTGAAATATAAAATTAATAGAAAAATCATTAAATTAGTTATCAAAAAATTATTAATTTGCTTTGATTTTGGTTTTAAACTTCTATTTTCTTTCAATAGGTGGACTTCAGGTGATTATAATTCGTATGGTTCCCATAAAGAATATAAAATTTTAAAGTATTTCTTATTATGACAGTTTTGCGGTTTTTATGCTATTAATAGAAGCAGTTAATTTATACATAATACTTTTTAAAAGTTCACGAAAACCTTTCTTAAATTTCTACATTGTACTTGTCTCTGAAAAAGGGTTAAATTTTAATAAACAATAAATCTAAAAAACTAAACAGAAGTGTTTACTTTTAAACTTAAAATAGCAAAGTGATTTATACAATATTTGATTAAAATAAAAAAATACTGAATTAACTTTTAAACAAAAACAATATATATGCAATTTATTTTTATTGAAATATAAAAATAAATCCTGATAACCTGAGTCCCCCTAATGGTGAAATATCCCTTATAAGGGACCTTGTTCCGAGATGCGCGCGTGGCCAGACAACGAAATGTCAAAGCAGCCTGCTTATTTTTTGCTCCTTCTCTTTTTTTTGTTGTATCCTACTGTGTACGATTTTTGGTTTAGCTTTTTGGCATATGGTGCTTTGTGGAGAAAATGGGAAGCGAGTGTGTTTCGTTGTGTTGTTGTTCAATGGAAAGGCTGTTTCGCTTATTTCCTTTTTTTATCATTTCTAGGTTTTCTAGTTAAATATTTTGCAACACCGCATCGCATTTCCATGATTAGCAGATAAACATATGTTAAGTTGCAAAACTTTGAGAGGGTTGAGTTGGAGAAGTTGAGATACGCGACAGGAATATATATATATATAAATACATATATATATGGAACACTATGGGCTCTGATTGAGCTTTCAAGTGAGCCAAGTTGTATGGCAGAAAATGTTTGTTTAGGATGCAACAGCTGTTGGGTTAATGTTGGCCAAAAGAGGCCTAAAAAACAACAAGGAAAGTTTGCCTCAAGCAGGAAGAGGACATATTTTAAAGTATTGTTCTAACAAGAGTAAATTTTAATTATTTACCAACACTAACAATTAACAGTGTTGTATAAATGTTACTAAAATAAAATAGTAACTTTTATTCAAATAAAGTTTACCTAAAACTGTTATTAAATAGAAATAACACCTTCAATTTTGTGCTTTAAAAAACCTCTTAAACTCTACTTAAAAAGTTTTAATGTAATACAAAAATAGTCTTACTTTCTTGATAATTTCTATCCTTTTATCTTGTCATTCTCATACCTTTAACCCATCCATTTTCATTTCCTTTTTGCTAAGAATATTCTGCCTGCTCTTAATTGAATTAACTTTAATGAACCAAATTATAATTGCAAATAAATTATCTCATTTAAGACGCACAACATTTTCGCACTTTTGCCGTTAGTGTGTAACGCTGAGACCCGAAAATGGCGTCAAGGCCAATTAGAAAACTTTGGCCAAAATGGGGCGAAACTGAGACTTATCTTGGGATCTGTTAAGAGCCCATTTTCCCCAAAGTCTCGCCCTGTCTCCCTGTTTCTCTCTTTCTCTTTCTTTCTGTCTGTTTTCAAGATAGCGAACTAGCATATGCCAAAGTAAAAAGCTTACCAAAGTCAAACTCGATTAAAAATGCATAAACGCAATTAAAAGCAAATGGAAATCGAACGAAACTCGCAAAAAGCTTTGAATGAGAAACGCCTCGAGGTGGAAAGGCAAGAGAGATTACACTTGGAAAAAAATATATATAAGAATACAATATAAATTGATATGAATATATTGTTTAACTATATTTCAAAGTTAGCTGAATGTACTTTTCTACATTTAAAGTTATTTAACATAACACAAAAATTTGTTTAAATTTTTATCAGGAATAATAAAAGATTTAACGAACTTTATATTTAACAAATAAATAATATTAAATGCAAACTATTCACTCAATAAACAAATTTTTGGAATTCCAAGTATCCTACCAAAAAAGTATTGCCTACATCTTGGCGTTGGGATATTAGAGTTTTTTTTTCTGACGGAAAGCAATGAAAATCCATGTTGTTAATAATTTCCTACAATATTGTTATGTATTTTTTAGAATATATGTATATAAAAAATATTTTCTTTAATTTTTCTGTGATTTTAATTTTTTTGCGTGCACCAAAACCAAAATACTAAACGATATAAAAACGCAGATAGTAGAAGTGCAGCAGGACAGTGGTCAAGGGGTGGCGAAGGTGGTCAGGGAGACATACGGTGGGTGTTGGGCGGTGGAAAGTGTTGGTTCGGAGGTGGTAAGATATTCAAAAGGCGCGACAAAGTGGCGACTAAGCTTTGTTTGGTGCAAAGAGAGCAGCGGAATGCGAAATGAGAAAAGCAAAGCAAGCGAGAAGCCAAAATAAAACAATAAAAATAAAAACCGAAAAGGCAATAAAATACAACGTTTATGCAGGATTTTGACGATTGCAAATGTAATTATATTTTAAGTAATTGCTTTAATCACCTTTAAATTTGACTAATAAAAATGTGCCAAGATTTAGACTAGGCAATAAATTATTTTTTTAGATATTTTAAGTAAACATAAATAACAAAAAAAAAAAATAAAAAAAAAAAATAAAAAAATTATAACAAATCAATTGAATTATAGAACTTATAATTTTGGGTTATTATTTTTTTTTAGATATTTTAAGTAAACATAAATAACAAAAAATAAAATAATAATAAAATAAAATATTAAAAATTATAACAAAACAATTGAATTATAGAACTTATATAATTTTGGGTAATTAAATAAAAATAAATAAATAAAGAAATATTTTATTTAAAAATAACATTAATATCGCATTTATATTCGCTGTACAACATTTTATATTTTCTGTTCTTGGGGAAGAATGCCCTGTGGCACATAAGCCAGCTTATTTTCAAACATTTCCATATATTTTTAATTAAATAATTTTCAAGTCTAATTCTTGATATTCCCCCAGCTTTTCTGATAATCAAATTAACGAACTATGGCCTCCCGCATAAACGCAATAACTGTAAAAGAAGCCCTGACCATGCAGTTGCGTCAATGAGTGCAAGAGAGAAGGGGGGTCAGGCGATGCCAGAGCATGGGAGAGGCAGAGCGAGATGGGGAAAGCAAAAGGCAATGGAAAGAGCGGGTAGAGAGAGAGAGCCGCACCAGAGGCAGGCAGGCAGGCAGGCAGCAAGCAGCAGGCACTGGTTGAGTTGGTTTTGCTGACTGCACTTGTTTTGCCATCATTATTATTGTTGCTTGCAACGTTTTTGGTTGCCACAAAAGCAACAAACACACACACTCATACACGCACGACCGCGATATTGCCAATTTGGCTCACATACACACGGACAACAGTTAGCCGCCTTTTGCGTTGTGTTTGTGGGTTTTGCCAACATATTGTTACAGTTTTATCAAATTCCCAATGCGAAAACCCTCGAAATGAATTGTTACAACAACCATTAGGTCAAACTCACCTTAAAAACATTAAAATTATTGCAATTTTGGTGCAAAATCAACCAACATATGCTAACACGTAAAACACACACACACACACACACTGACTCTTGCTTTGCTTTTGTGGTTTCTTTTTTTGCTTTTGCTCTTTTCCCTGTCGTTTTCTATTTATTTATTGTTGCTTTTGCATTTATTTTTCGGCTGCACTCTCACCCTAAAACACAATTAAACACACACTCACACAACACGCACACGTACGCGAACCCGAAAAGCAGCCAATTTTTTTTGTATTTGTTATTGTTTTGATTTTTTTTCGTATTGCAAATTTTACTGTAATATGCGTAACAAGTTTATATTACGTTAACGTGCATCACGGAATAGCGAAATGTAACGAAATAACGGCTTATGACGACGTTACTTGCAGAGCAATAGGAAAAGCGCCGAAGAATTGCACTAACCCGAAAACTTGATGTGTTTTGCTTTGCTTTTATTATTCAAAAAATGCTACGCCAGCCTTTCTGATTTTCCGATGCGAACCGCGCGCGCTGCGAAAAACATATTCGATGCGAATCAGAGAACTTCCCGCTATATAGAGATTCTCTTTCGGTTTGAGTGATTTTAACGATGATTTTCAATTGCTCCCTCACCTCCTCACACCCTCGCAAGCTCTGTTGCGCGCTCCCATGTGCAATGCTCTTGAGTGCTGGCCGCCCGCTCTTTATGTTACCGGCTGTTAACCCAAATGTAACCGTGTTACAGGCTATGTAAAGGTGCTGTTACTAAAGTTTCCAGAGCAGGTGTTTTTATTAATATTATAATTTTAAAGGGGTTTTATATTTACTATATGTGGTTTTATTATTGATATAATTAAAATCTTCTATATTTATTATTAAATATTTAATCGTATACTATTTGTATAGGTATTATTATTAACACCGGTTAACATTTAAGCTTGACTTGAGAGTGAGAGTGTGGGAGAGAAGAGGACCAAGTGCAGAGCTAGTAAAGCCGAAATTGAGTGCCTTCAGAAAGCTGTTGCTTTTTTGAGCTCTCTCTACTCCCTCACTCGCTCTCTCTCTCTCTATCTCTCTTCCTTTGTAATGCTCTGTAACTGTTACTTACTCTGCTAATGGTCACGTTGCGTGGGTGTCAGCGTCGCTGCCGCTGCCGCTGCCATCCCCGGCAGAATTGTCCTCTAATTGAGTGTTTCTTTGCGGTTTGAATCCTGCGTTATTTGTAAACTAAACTAAACACTTTTTATTCACAAAACAATGCAATACTGAGCTTGTAAAGTAAGGTAAAGTAAAACACATGTAGCCGCTGCCGGAGTGCCATATTCACTGCACTGCTCTAGCTAACACGACCCGGCAACTACACGTGTGGGAAAGCACTGGCAAAAGCCTCCCATGGGAATGCAAAGGTAGCATAATTGAGCCAAAGAGTATGAGTGCGAATGAGTGAGCTTTGAGTGACTGCAACCTGTAAGAAAACAAAGGCTCAGAAAAGGTTCAAAAGCGAGTGAGTTGATGTTTTTGAATGCAAGCAGCTGTTTGAGAAGAATAGGAAAAAGGTCATAAGTAATATAATTAATATAAATAATATAATAATATAATAATATAATAATATAATAATATAATAATATAATAATATAATAATATAATAAATAATAATATAATAATATAATAATATAATAATATAATAATATAAATAATATAATAATATAATAATATAATAATATAAATAATATAATAATATAATAATATAATAATATAATAATATAATAATATAATAATATAATAATATAATAATATAATAATATAATAATATAATAATATAATAATATAATAATATAAATAATATAATAATATAATAATATAATAATAAATAAAATATAATAAAAAAAATAATAATATTAATAATATAATAATATAATAATATAATAATATAATAATATAATAATATAATATATAATAACATAATAATATAATAATATAATAATATAATAATATAATAATAAAAATTAATAATATAATAATATAATAATATAATAATATATATATAATAATATAATAATATAATAATATATAATAATATAATAATATAATAATATAATAATATAATAATATAATAATATAATAATATAATAAATAATAATATAATAATATAATAATATAATAATATAATAATATAATAAAAAATAAATATAAAATATAAAATATAAATAATATAATATAATAATATAAAATAATAATTTAATTATATAACAATATAATATAATATTTTGAACTTACAATTATAAAAAAATTTAAATATTAATTTTTAAAATGCAATAAATATTAAAAAAAAAAAAAAAAATAGTAATTAAATATTATAATGTATATCTTATATAGCAAATATTAATTTTCTGCGTTTAAACCATTATTGTATACTAGCTAATAAAAATGTTGTGTTTTATACAATCTGATAGAAATAATATGTTAAATTTTTAATTAATAATTTAATAATAATAGAATAACTGTTCACATTATTTCTACATCATTTCAGCTTTCTAAGAGCTTTTTTGTACATTTGACTTTCCTTTTCAGCGAAGTAAAAATGGTTTGTGCCTTGGCTACAAGTTTACTTCCGCAAAATATTCAAAATGGTAATCACTTTGTTTATTCGTTTAATCTTGTTTTGTAGTTTTTATTGCACGATTTTAAGTTATTATTATTGAAAAAAATAATATAATAATTTCCGCTTTATCCCTTAAGTTTTGCAGAACGTTTTGTTTTTACACGCTGCTTCAGCCACCATTCGAAGTCATTTTTGATAAATTTCGGCCTCACAGCCTTAATGCGTTCCTTCACAAAGGTGTCGCGATCTCTTAGCCAAATTCGACCATACTCTCCGCCAATAAGATACGACATCGATACAGGAGCGCACTATATATAAATAAAATAAGAGGTGTAAAAATAAATAAAGAACTAAGTAAGATCCTGGTCTCGGAGGATTTCACCAGAAAATGTTGCCTACTTTACAGGACAGCCACCGAAATAAGTGTCAAAGAAGGTTTTAAAAGAAAAATGGCGTTCAGAAAACTTCTATAATTAAATGCCTTTTATGATTTATCAATTTAAACTTTCCTTAACTTTAAAAGATTTATCTATTATACGTATATTTAGTTGGAGAAAATTAAAGTATAGTACGATAATAATGTCCTCTTGCATTTTTTAAAAATTTCTGAACTGATACTACAATTTTTACTCAACACCTTCGAAAAATCTATTACAATTTTTGTCCCACTATTTATTTATTTTTAACTAGGGGACAGGCCACAAAACTATATCATTTTACTGTACAAATATCACTATATATACTCACATCCGTATCAGTGGATGCCACAAACTTGGCTGCCCGATTTTTAGCCTCAGTCGTAAGATTATCCTTGGGAATAAAGGGCACAGCCCTTGACCACTCCTTATTCATTTTGGTAAGCGATTTATGTTTTTCCGATTCACTTAAAATTTACACAGATTATGCTCTATTGCAGCTTCTGTTACAAGAAATTTAAAAAGACAGCATTTCTAAATGAGAAAATGGTTTTGATAAATATGAAACGACATGTTTGAAGGGAAAAGAAAGGGTAAAGGTTTATTTGATATTGTAAATGACTTAAAAGATATATTCTTCTAGATACATAAGTCAAAAAATCAAGATTCAATGAATACAATATATTGCATAATTTGCAAATTCAATTTTAAAGACAAGTTCCCCATAATTTAAATAAAAATATATAACACCGATTTTACATAGATTTTTATCAAAAATTTCATTTTAAAAACCTACAAATACCCAGTTTAACCCTTTTATTTATTATTCCCCAGAAAAATCAAAAAGCAAATGTAGATTTGTAGAATCTATATATATATACTCCTCCAGATCGTCCTTCAATATAGCCAGTAAGTTCCTGAATTATTTATATAAAAACAATATAGAAAACCACCCAGAATAAACTTTGAGGGAAATTCTCTATGCCGAGCCTCCCAAAGGACGACCGCAGAAATGTTTCGAAGGCGTTTCCTTCTACCAAAAAACAAAAAAAACATGGCCAAGACCACGAACAAGACGAAGAACAAGAAGCAA